TGGGGGGGGGGGGGGGGGGCCGGGCCCCCGGCCCCCCCCCCCGCTTCCGCCGGCCATGCGAGGAACATTATATTTAAATATCATGAATAATCAATTACCAGATCCGGGAAGCGTGACCGCGGCGGTGTGAGTCCAGCGAAACCCAGCGAGCGTTTGAACGAGGGGCATTGTGTCCAGTCCAGGCGCTTGCGAACCGAGTTTCAGCATGGGTAAAGATGTGATTGCACTCAATATCAATTGTTTATCTCTTTCTTGCTTTCTACCTGTCTTTTTACTGTAAAGCTGTTTGTTTTTACTTTGATTTGAATTTTGTATTTCTGGGATGTTTTTCCTTTCTTTTACTATTTTGTTAAACTCCCTGATTTTTCTGTTTACCTTTGCGTTTCCTTTTTACTGTCCTATTGGGTTTTTTTTATTAGTAAGTCTGGACGCACCACTGAATAGCGTGTGCCACTGTTGTAAAAGTGTGTGCCAATAAAAACTGAAACTGAAACTGATCTCCGATATGTCAGCGTAAGTTGTAGCTAGGGCCTAGGATGGAGTGTAGGGCGGCCGGAGTGTAGTCAATAAAAATGTTCGCTGGAGTCTGTGATATCTCATGGACTCTCGTAAATTTTGAATATCATTTTTATTATTCAACATTAATACTTTTAGCAAGACCAAAAACGCAGAAAGGGTTATAGTGCTGTGTATTCTCTTATTGTTAAGTGTATGATATTGACGGGGACATTTGTTAAAAATACTCCTGAAGTTGTAATGGACACTTTGTGTAGACTAAGAATGGAGTCAAGAGTCAGACTATTTTCAGAATAAATTATCGTTTTTATTTTATAGTTTATAAGACGAAACTTTTCAATCATTATGTCCATTAATCACGAGATAACGAATTATTATAATTGTATAGGTGACAGCAATTAATTGTAGGCCTATAATTATAGTAAAACATCATTCATTAAATTAATGAGATCTCCATCTCCAAAAATGAAAATAATTAACATAATTCAGTTTTAAATATTAATCATATACAACGTACTAGGCAGTGGCGGTGCCAGCGCCAGAAATCTGAGGAAAGTGAAGAGGTAAACTTTTAGGGCGGGGGGGATTATGTTGTGGTAGTCTGGTGGGTTTTTGCTTTGATCCAGGCCCATCAATAATTAATGTGAAAGAAAACAGTGATATTATTTATTGGTTATTTTTTTAGACACAAATATATTTTTTAAAAAAGCATTAAACATGAATTATTGAAAACTTCATTTCATGCTTTACCTCTTAGGTCGTGGAGTCTGAGTCAATAGATCCTGTTATTCAAGAGTTGTTGGTAAGAATTTTGAAACAAATTTTTGTAAAATGTGCAATTCAATGTACTTAACTTTGCATTTTATAATTATTCCAACATTTACAAGGACCAAGTTTTTATTTCAATTTTAACTCTTTAACAGATTTCAAATTATAAGATATTTTAAACATTTTATTTTCTTAAATTTCACGACTAAAATGTTATGTTAAACTCTATAATTCGATTTTACCTACATTTTAAGATGCTCAAATCATGTTTTTAATTAAATCAATCGATGTGTAACATTATATATAATTTAATTCATTAAGAATAATTGCATTAATGATTTAGTATATCTGATACATGTTCTACTAAATTTGTTGTGCTTTGTCAATCCTCTATTACAGTTTGAGTTTTAAACAGAGCCTAATTAAAGCTACTACTATATGTACATAATTATTCTCATTTCAAATCCACCCATTTCTATTCCTAATAGGATACATGCAACAAGGCTAAACAAGCAGAACAGGTATAATGCGTCACTATTCCTAATTTGAAATACAGTAATCAAGATTCCTAGATTTCTTAAGGTCCTGGGAATTCTAAACATCCTGTTAGGTTTCAACAATCACAATCTTATTTCTCTGAATTTAAAATTACTTTAATTAATACTAACATTCTGTAGATTAATTACAGTAATAAATTCGCAACGTGGTACGTCCAATCAGGACATAAGACAAATATGATTTTAAAAAAAACATTCTGTATGTCGCAAGTATAAGATGACACCTTTTTTTCAATCGTAATTTGCTATCTTAAGTCTAGTTTTGTATGAGAGTACACGGTTAGCTTTTCCTTTTAGCTGGTAATAATCATGCTATTATTTTTTTTTTTCATTCAGACCGTAATCTGCAACCATAATATGCTTCAACATTGTTTATGCTGCAGTAAAGCCATATTGGAGACATTTAGTTCAGCTTGTATTATGGTATTTCTATTCCTAAATATATAAATAATGGCCTACTTTAGTTTATATTTTTTGTTTCTTCTTCCTTTTTTCATGATTTTCAGACTACCAGTAGACCTGAAGTACCAGTAACGGGGGTAAGAATTGCTTTCCTATCTTTTAAGATGTGGTATGTCTTAAAAGACACTTTCATACAGAGCTATGTTACAATTATTGCCTTATGAATGTAAGGGCTAACTGCAGCCGCAATATTGAGGTTACGCGCCCGCGTTCATCATTACAGTATAAATTTGCAACGTGTTACGTACGATCCGGTAATAAGAAAAATATGGTTTAAAAAAAAGAACATTCTGTATGTCGCAAGTATAAGATGACCCCCTGTTTTTCAATCGTAATTTGCTATCTTAAGTCTAGTCTTATATGCGAGTGTCCCGTTAGCTTTCCCTTTTAGCTAGTAACAACAATCATGCTATTTTTTTTTTCATTCAGACTGTAATCTGCAACCATAATATGCTTCAACATGTTTATGCTGCAGTAAGGCCTTTGAAACATTTAGTTCAGTTTGTATTATGGTATTTCTATTCCTAAATAGGCCTATATAAAAATGGCCTAGGCCTACTTTAATTTATACTTTTAATTTCTTCTTCCCTTTTTCATGATTTTCAGACTACCAATAGACCTGAAGTACCAGAAACAGTGGTAAGAATTGCTTTCCTACATCTTAAGACACTTTCATACAGAGCTAACTGTAATATTCAGTAGTAATATTAATGCATCCAATAAAGTAAATTAACGTCAAGCAAATTACTATAAAGTCTAGCCTTAACATACCGTACATTTAGCACAATTTTATCAAAACAATACTATAGGATACCTCATTCTGTGATGACTCAAAAGGAACCAATTGCTCACTCACTTCATACAGAAAGGCGTTTATTACTACGGCAATATTACCGTAATATCTGGTTGGTATGAATGGTTTATGTCGATAAGAACGGTATTATTATCGCAGTATTGCCAGAACCTCTGTCTGAAAATGAACGGTTTAAGAGCTATAGTATGAGAAGAAAAAATACATAATAATAATAATAATATATAATAACAATAAAAATAATAGGCCTATTATAATATATGTAATTTTTTTCTGTAATTTTTTTAGCTACTTTTGGGAACTTGGGTGCACTTGTTTATTGTTCAAAGGATGGGGTTGACATTGAACAAAATCGGAAGTATATAAATTCGCCCCTCAACTGGTCTCTACAGAGTGAAACTGGCCACCAGCTTAAAAAGGCTGAACACTCGGACAGTGGCACATTGAAAGACTTGTATGTGCTTCACATTATCGTTACCCCGGTCACTGGATTAAATACACAAACTCAGCTCCCTAGGGACAGAAGCTAATCAGCACATTTGGAATTTTATTCAAAATAATTAATTATTTCTAATTTGTTTTTATTTTGCAGTTTACGTTTCCAGAACCAAGCCGATTTGGGCCAACAAATTTGACCAGGAACCAATGGTCATGGAGGAAGTTCAAAGGTTGTTTTGGCAGCAAAATTGCAAATTATGTTAATAAAAAAGATGTAAGTACATATAAGTATTTATTTACTACCACCCCCTCCCACCACCCCACAATAAACCTCTCCTTCTTATCCTCATTTAGAATAAGTGCCTTGCTCGAATAAACACCCTGGGCGCGCAAACTAGTGAAAACAACATCATTCTCGACAAATTCTAGTGAAGTAGAATTACATTTATTCTAACCTGGGGTTCAATAAGTCTATATGATCACACATTACCACATTTTGGCGGTAAAATATGTTGTAGTTCCATATTTACTGTGAAATTAAGGAGGCGTATATTATTTGAGTACACATATCCATTTTACACCAAAAAAAAATTAATTAATTAATTAAATTTAATTAACGCCTCCAATAAAGGCACCTCCAAAAACACTTCTCAACACTGTTAACATGGCTTTATTGTACTTGCCTCATTTTGTCCCCTCTCTATTTTGTAACACGCCAATTCGGGCTTAATGAGGGTTCCTTTTTCGTCTAGCATTTATTCTTGTCTGTTAATCTTTTCTATCTGAATTTGTTTTTGACGAAATAAAAAATTGTTGTATTTTTAACATGGGGTGTTTAAAAATAATAAATAAATTAAATAATAAAATAAATATGGGAAGTCAGTACAACTATAAGATTAAAATGTTAATAATTTTTTCACACATTCTCTGTCAAAACAATTTTAACCTTTCACACGTATTTTTTTTCCTCTTTTCTGTAGGCTTTAGAAATTTACAAAGGGAACAAAATTTAAAACAAATTCAAGTTTCAGGCTTTGTACACAAGATGAGGAGAATGTATCCCAAGGTAATGTGTTTTGTTGCTGTATAGAATACAATCCGTAATGACTGTATGCAAATTTTATTAAGTGTTAAGATCTTGATCATGTTCTTAATACCTCCTTGCTCAAACCCTCATGATATTATTCATCCAAAAGGAAAGTATAATAATTATACTATTGCAAATTTATACGCGCCAATCAAAAGCGTTGGTTCACTTCATGAGGTCTGATTGGTTGCACTTTTTTCGATAAAGCACACACTGCTAGAAATGTAAATGCACATCCTGCTTTCCACTGATTGAATAATTTTTTAACAATCAAATTAGGAGGAAGTACTATTTGATGATAAAACTTTTTTTTAAATCTGAATAAAGTGTTTAATTACTGTTAATAATGTATTTTATATTATTTTATCTTCATAGAATTGTATTGCAAAAAAATACGCTGACATCATCTCGTCACCATTCTATACCATTACGCAACTTGAGGACTCACACATGATAGTGGAGCGAATTTTTAATGTCAGACTCCGGAGAAAAAAAAAATGATTGTTTTGATATGTTGTATAAGTGATTTTTCCAAGACAATATATATATATAATTATATCTGTCTCTTATACACATCTAGATGTGTATAAGAGACAGTAAGTATACACTGTGCTTCGTCACGAGGGACCTACCGTCCG